TTTTCGCTCGCGCACTCCGTCACTCCGATCCACTCTCATACCCCTCAACAGGGTGCCGCTCTCTTTTTTTTTTTAATTCTCGCCACTCCTCTGACAAGTGTGCGACGCTGGAGCGTTAATAAAAATTTGTAATTTCCAGAACGAGTCGTGGAGGATGCCCATTTCCCTTTCCCAATCGCGCGGAGATGTAATTAACATCGGCGCGTGGCAAACGAGATTTATCGGTCCTTCTAACATAATTGTCCTTCTAACATAATTCCAAGACGCGACCTAATGGCAAATTTTTCCCCCCTCGATTCTATCGTGAAGAGAGGGCTCCTCTCTCTATAGGCTCGCTGGAAGCGACCGACTTCGAGCATATTTTTGCGAAATGTTTTCGCAAAACAGATGTCCCGCCGAAGTAATTTCACGAGAGAGAGAGAGAGAGAGAGAGAGAGAGAGAGAGAGAGAGAGAGAGAGAGAATAATTAAGCGAAAAGCGAGCGCAAATCACCTTCGATCCGAAACCTTCTAATTGCATTGACACTTCCACATAATCTCCCGACGATCAAAGAGCGTATTACGTCGTCATGTTTTTTTCATAGACACTTCTTTACAACGGTGTACAATAGTACAGAAAAATTATAGTTTAAAGTTATAGTGTTTAATTCAGCCTCGTTATAAAAATAACACTTAAAAGTTTGAGTGTTTTTTTGTGAGTGATTTTTTTCCCCTTTATTTTTATTCTCATAGTATTTTATAGTGGAAAATAATATTTAACTTTGAATACGTTCCTTATATTTTCATCTATATATTGTAACATTTACATACCTTTTTTTATTATCTGTGCATCCTTATTAGATCAACCGATACATAAATGGAGCATTAATAAGAAAAATAAAATATAATAGTTTTGTATTTACAATATCGTGTATATATTTTAACCCAATTTCGTTTCAAACATTTATAATCATTCAGCATTTATTATTTAGGTAGTGAAATAAATGTACAGAAACATAAATTTGCTTGATAAATACTAAATTTATGAGTGGTCCCTCTGATGCGAAAATACTGCATTAATTATCCTTAATTAATAAATTATTAATTGTCAATTAACAAAAGGAATCACAAGTCCAATTTTTCTGTAATAAAAAAATAATCTAATTTCTTTTCGAAAGTATGCATTTTGGCATCGCTGTGGCAGCGTTTCGATTATCGCGACGTTTTCATCGAGAATCCACACCCTTTTAACGCCGCGTTTTTAATCATCGTTCCATTTAAAGGACGACGGCACGCGCCGAGTATCTTCCGAATCATTCACACGTCGCACTTCTCCGACGCGTGTAGGAGATGAGATGGATATTGGGTGCGGAGAGCTTGGCTGAGAAAGAGAGAGGGGGAGAGACTAACCCGGGCGCCTGGTGCTCCCGTGGACCCGCGAAACGACGTGATATATCGCTCGTCTACGTGGCCGAGTTGCAACTCGCGCGTTTTAGGAGCCACTTGCATACGTACGTCAAACGGGTGGAAGTTTATGTTTATCAATTTTTCCACGGCTACCCCCGGACCGGTTTACCGAATGGAATCGGTAAACGTGAATATTTATGTTAGAGAGTAGCTCCGGCACGAGAAATATCGCGACCCAATAAAACTCGGGATCGGCGAAAGGGGAACGATACGAAACGAGTGTTCGCCGCGTTGCGTCATCGCGTTGTGGCCGAGAATAACAAGAGTGTTAATATACGGAACGGGATTATAATATGGAACTCGCATTTCTGCTAAAACTATTGCTTGAAACTGTCGGTAGTTACACTCATTAAAAACATTTGGTTTCATTTGGGTCACTTGAGAACGCTGGCGTGAAAATAAAGCGGTGTTTAACCATATAAGTGAATATTCTGTTCAATTAAAGCGACGTAGCTGCTTTGGGTGAGGTTTAACGATTCGTATCGTGTATATATTGTTAAAATATCATATGTCGGGTAGTATTAAAATTAAAGTGTGAAATGGTAGGTTAATTATTGGGAAATGCATGTATTATACGTTTAAATTCATTAGATTGTGTAGAAAATGGCCGTTGCTCGGAACATCTCGTATTTCAGCCAGTGTAATAGTCTTGGTGAGAAAGAGGGAGGTTAGATGCTGAGCTGCTACAATGCCGAGAACAATTTTGTTTTCACTTTTAAAGAGATTATTTATCTTCCTACATATACACACATCTAAATACTAGATTATTTCAGCCACTTTCTTGTCATTTTGCAGAAATGATATGTTTTTATCGTCCTTTTTGTGCATAAATGCATTAAAAAGGATTGAGTAACAAATAATAGGAAGCTCATAACATTAAAAAAAACACTTACCCAAGTTTGATGTAAAGTACTATTATATTCAAATTACCGTCTAATGTAAATCCCGATTCAATTTACATTCGAATTAAAAAAAAATCGATTCGAACATATTGCAAAAATTACATAGATTCGACTACGCTTAATTCGCACACTCTTGTAATACGTGAAATGTTTTAATTACGAGTCCAAACAATTCGGTCATTACGACCAACATTGTTCGCCGCGAGATGTGAATCAAATACGTTTCCGAGAATGGCGAGGAACATTTAATTTATCGTTCGTCGTGTTTGTCGTAGGAACTGAACAGCCGGCACTTGGACCCCGTGGAAGTGTTTCGCGGTATACCTTACGCCGCGCCCCCGGTGGGAGACTTAAGATTTCGCGCCCCGATCTCGCCGATACCCTGGAACAGCGTCAAGCTGGCGGACACCTTCGGCGCGGTGTGTCCGCAAAACTATCCGGACATCGCCAATGACACCGCGGCGCTCTTGCAGATGCCGCTCGGCAGGTATCAGCAGCTTAAGAAGATGATCGCCTTCTTGACGAATCAGAGCGAGGACTGCCTTTTTCTCAACTTGTATATACCCGGAAGCGGTAAGCAGAGGACAAGTGCGCATCTTTCGATGGAATTAGATTCGGGGGAAGCCCGAAGTAAGAGTCGCGAAAGAAGAGCCTGACTAGAAATTTATCCCATAATCCGGGTTGACTTTAATCCGGTTGTCGGGTCCATCTTAGGTTATACTATTGGATCCTGAGAAATCATGCAACGTTGCGTGGTAATTGGGAGTAAATCTTATTCAGGATTTGTTATAATGTTCTCGCCATCGTAATGAATCCTGCTGAGATAAGATTGAAAACATTCGAAAAAAATACTTCTCCTTTCGCATTGCCATATAAGAAACGCTATAAAAAAGTATCGTTCCTTCCGTTTATTCTAAACGGCACTTTACATGCTATATACTACAAAAGGTCCGTATTAGAAAGTAATAATGCAAGTCATAATAAGTGAAGCGAATCAGATCCCCTGAAAAGGACCCGTAAAACTTTATGTATAAATAATACATTAGTATAATACACTGTATAAGTGTATCCTAATGTGTACCTAATCGACATATTATAACCTTACAAAGGTCTTCCTTATTCAATTTTGATCAGTATATGATTAGGTTTACCATAGGAAGAATTGTCTTGCGCTCACTTACTTGGAACCTTCTGCAGTATCATGTATATCCCGATGACAATTTCTAGTCGGGGTAAACGACGATGTTCGAATATTCCCAAGAGGGCGCGGAACTTCTTTTCCCTTTCTCTCAGGGGGGTGGGAAGGTCGCGCGATAAATAGCTTCGTAAAGAGAACTATGCGAAATTACGTTTCTATTGTCGTGCGAAGTAACCCGCGAATATAACGCGAAGTTCCTCAGCTCCGGCGGAGTAAAAGGGATAATAAGTTTTAATGAAGGTCTTTATTCCGCGGAAAGATATTGAGGCTACTGTGCGCATCCAGTTAACGAAAGTTCAGCTTTCGCGCGTCTGCATAAATAATTTATTTTTCGCGTCTCATCGATCATTTAAGTGGCTGGCGCAGCAAGGGGTCACTCGCAATTTGATTATCAATCCCTCCTCCTCCTCCTCCTCCCCGATTAATCCACGCGGATTTATTTTGGAAAAAGCGAGCACACGCGCGCGCGAAGGGAGTACTAAAGAATCCTGTTATAGAAAATTAACAACGTTTGTCGGTTAAACGAAAGCGCGCTCTGCGGCGGCGCCGGCGGGTGGAGGTGGGGAGAAAAAAAATTCGGGGAAACTGTTTTCCCGCGCGGAATTACGCGTTAATGTACATTACACCGCTCGCGGCGTGCAATCGACTAATATCGCACCACTGTAAAAATTACACGGCGGAAGTAACACGTTACCCGCCGTTCGTTACGAAGTTCCGGTGAGCCCGGCGGGGGAACGGGGGCGGGCAAAGGGTAACCACCGCCGTCGCCCCCATCCCGAAATTCTCTCTCAAACTACATTATCTATCGGAGCCAACAATTTATGCGCGTCCGTATAGTATTACACGCGCGAGGCGCAACTTACTCCTCCTAAAGTAATTAGTCCTAAAGTAATTAGTACCTTTATACTACCCAGGGTAGTATCAGGCCGGGAGCAGCCGCACGCGCGTTACATCGCACGTTGCTACTCGGCGGCACGATGAAAGATAAAGGCGAATTTGCAACGTAAAGCGTCCGTATAACCTCGGCTCGACTCTTGAAATTTAAAAAACCGAGAGTTACGTGAGAGAGAGAGAGAGAGAGAGAGAGAGACGCGTGCGCACGGAGACAGAGAGGGGAGTCGCGAAAAACAGCGGTGTAACGTCCGAACGAATTTTCCTCTCGCGCCGGCACAAAACCGACGGATAATAAGCGAGATTTCTCTTCCTTCAGGAAGTGGGAATTCTTCGAGGGTCCGGATAACGATGGATAATTTCGCGAGGTCCCACGCACGAAAATCGGAAGTGAGTCGCGGGCTATTTAAGGTAGTTGGTCCGTAAGTTTATTTTTTTGGGAATTTTTTCAATTTCAACGGCATATTAATCAAAACGCAATCCACACATATATGTGAAAAGGATTTACCATATAGAAACTGAAATAAAAAAGATCGAGGTTAAAAGTCACAATACATTCATGACATCAATGATGAAAATTTCAAAATAATGTTAACCTTCTTCACGAAAAGTTTTGCAAAGAAGCTATATTTTGCATATTAAACCTCAATTATTTACGAAATCCGATGTACTCGTGAGATTTGGTATTGTTTCCAGCGTTAAAAAATCTATAAGACATATATACTTTCTCTTGTTTAAAATAATAATTTAAAAAATCTTTTTTTTTTAATTAATCCAACTGATGGCTTTACTTTTTGAGTTCATATCAGTTGATATCAGCTTCTTCTCTGTAACTTCACCCTTTTGGTTTACATTTATAATTTTCACATTCTATGTTATTGTTTCTTCTCTCTCATGCAGCGACCAATAAAGTTATTATTATTATCGTAAAAAATTGAATTGTGTGCGATATTCCCTCTCTATATCGTCCTCTTGCTCTATATCTTCTCTCGCTCGTTCAAGCCGTACATCATAAATCACGCTTATAAACATGTAGCACAGATTTGTCAGGCTTCTTCGTGTTGTACCAACCATCACCTGTCCCGACAGTATTGTCACGAGCGAACTACCTCAAGCCGAGTCGCGATAAAGCCGCCGAGCGGAGAATCAATTTTCGTCGAGAGCGGCGAGAGGGAAGCGTCGCGTGCGCTCGTCGGCGATCAGAATTTGCGGATTTTGCGACGATTAAAGCGCAATTAACGATCACCATAAGGACTGCTTAATATACGATCGCGCGGAACACGCCCGGTAACGCTCCGCGACGCCCGGCGCTATCGATCGATTACTTCACCCGGTGGTGGTTAATCGACGAAGACGAGCTCGCACGCCAGTTTGTGCGCTTGTCGGGCTGCTTGCCACCGCCAATCGGGAGAATTTTACTCGCGGACGAATAATCAAAGTAAGATCGCGATCGAGTCACCGCGATTATTGCGAGGCCCCCTTTCCACCGCTTCCGCATCGTATCCAGTCGGACGATAATCGCGCGGTGTAAATCGTGTGCGACAGACAGACGTTAATTGATCGCGATACCGCGCGCCTGCTTGGGATATCGACGGTTGGTTAATCCACCGAGACGGCTGTCCGGAGCGAGTGGAATCTTTCACGCTCTTAAACGCTCGGGCTGCTGCCTTTTATGGGGATTTGCGGGCGAAACAGGGCGAATCGATCTGCGGCAACATGAGTTTTCCTCGGTATTGTTAGCTGCCTCACGCCGTGTAAACTTCCGCGAGGAGGCGAGGGGTAAAGTCTGGGCTCGAAGAATCTTTTAACACGTTAACTGAGATAGCATCACGCGTGTGTGTTACTCACCATGAAGCTAATTCCCAACATATCGCGAAATAATTTCCTCTTGGGCAAATTACTTTTTGTAGCACTTTAATGAAGCAGGAAATTATTTTGATAATTAACAAAATTAAATACGTGGAGGAAAAGCACTAAAATCGACATACAATTTTGCTTCTGTACTCTAAAGTTCTGTTGAAGGTGTGAAATTAAAAAAAATTCCAAATGATATTTCACAGCAAAGTTTTGATATGAAAGAATAAGCTCAGATATCTCGATTTACAGAACAATCTAACCTTAACTTTTTCTTACATCGTTCAATGACAGAGGATAAAGATTAGCACAAGATTCAAAGTGATTTAAAAAGTTCAAAATTCACACGCCATAAAATAGATAATTTGTTATTTCAATTTTCACGAGAAGAAAGTTAGACGAAAACTTCAGCACAACGGAAAATCCAATGACGCTAATAATACAACCGAATATACTGGCAAATGGAAACTTCAGCTCCATATAGTAGACGAAATTCATGTTCGCTCTGACATGAGAGTTTCAGTATTTTACACTTTATATTTTATATAAATTATATAATATTTCTTTTCCATTGAAGAAACCTAGTGGTTTTAAATTATAATTTCTCTGCCTAGAGAGAATGAATATTTTCTAAAATTAAATTCTGATGTTTTCGGTATTACGAATTTAATATTTTCTTTAACACATACAAGTTAATGCTGCTGCTTATACGAAGGAAATATACAGTCAATTATACTTTTGGTAAATATTTACCAAGAAATGTTGGAGTAACGATTTTATCTGGATGAAATAAATATCACTTGAACGGTAACACTTTTTTTTCCAGTGCACACACGACACGTATCATGTTAACTCGCAACGTATCACATACGTTATTTAATTTAATTTTTTTTATAATAAATAATTTAAAAGATATGTTACGCTCTTATAAGACAAACTGTAAATGAGTGAGCTCGCACGTCGTACGCGCCCGTCGCGACGATCGATGGTGAATCCATTCGCGGACGGAGTAACTCTTAGTAAAAGCGCATCCGTCTCAGACGTCTTTTTCGGGCGCAAATTAAAGCCTTTGACTCTGCGGTTTTCCGCCTCGAAGCTGCCCTACGTGCGACGAATCGTCGATGTCGCCGCGACGCGAGAGAGAGAAAGAGAGAGAATGAGACGCGCGCGTGTCTGCCACATCGGGGAAAACTCCGCTCGACGCGACACGGAGACGACTTCGAACACCTCGCGGATCCTTAGCGCGGATTACAAAACGCAATTAGCGGTCTTAATTAGCACAGATGGGAAGCAGCGCGGGCGGCTAATTAATCGCGTCTCACTTCACATTTTGCGGGATCTGCCCGGGAGAATGGCCAAGACTTTAAGCGGACTCGGCTGCTCTCTTTCTTTCCGCATCTGGAAATACGCAGGTGGAATATTATAAATAAGATAAGGTTACACAGACATAACGGTTAAAAAAACGAGGAGACTCCCGCGGGAGAGACCTCCCAATCCCGCCGTCGCTTTACGTTTCGCGGCTTTATCCTTGCCAGAAGGGGGGGGGAGGGGCGTAATGCAACGTAAGCGATAATGTCGCGCGCGGTATTACGAGAAAGCTGGATATGTCAATGGAGGTTTATACGGATAAGAGGTTTATTCGCGGAAGAAAATGGAAGAGGAGAGAGGAGGAGCGGTAGTGTAGTGGTGGTACGTTGCCGCTTTCAGGATCTCGAGGACTGGAGGCGCCGTACGCGGTGATGGTGTACGTTCACGGTGAAAGTTTCGAATGGGGATCGGGTAACTTGTACGACGGATCGGTCCTGGCGAGCGCCGGCCACGTCATAGTGATCACGCTCAACTATCGTCTCGGCATCTTAGGTACGTGCCACCCTTTAATCAAGTATCCTGCACGCCCGAAAGCATTTTCATTAAGCGGCCGTCTCTCGACGCGACATCCCGAGATCACGGCCGGAAGTATTCAAAGCGTGGCGTTCGTCGTTCCGAGATATTATAATTTTTAACGCTAATATAATACCTGGTTTCTCTTCCTCCCTCCCTCTCTCTCTCTCTCTATCTGTCTTTCTCTGATCTTTGTTCACTTAAATCATTTCAAATAGACATTATAGAGTCTTCCTTCCCTTATGTTAATTTTTATTGATCGGTGTGAAATTGGATTACTACACTGAGAGAAAAATATCTAAAAATAACAAAATATTTCGTGGGGTAGTAATAATTATTTTTAGAGGAGAAAGTGATATTATGCTCCCTTCCTCATTTGCATTTTGCACAATAACTTTGTTAATAATTAATATTTTAAATTGAAACTTTTTAACGCATTTACGATTCATCAAAGCGTTGCTCAATCGATTCTGGACTCAAGGTTGTAAAATATTTATTATTTACCCTTACAAAAATATTTCATCACTTTTACTCCTCATATAGCCTGTTTTTGCCTCACATTTTTAACCAGTTCTATCATTTTTATGCTCATTCCTTGCACTTTCAAGAACGCGCAGTCTATTAAGCAAAGAATCATGCATTTCCTCATAGTTGAATGTATGTTTATACAAATTTCTCAAATTTACACAGCACTGCACATATTTAAGAATACTCATAATAGTACGTTAATACCATTCGGAATAACTCGTATGCTATTCGCTATAACCATTCGTTATTACGAAAAAGTGTCCCTTTCCGACCTAAAAACGAGGCCGTATTCAATCAGCCTGAATGCATGCTTTCATTACCCAAAGTAACAGTTTTCGCGAACCAAAAACAGTGAAATATTTTTGTAAGGGTAGGACGCTATTTATAAAAATGTAGCGACATTGCATGGTGATTCGAAGAGTAGCAGAGGTGGTAATGTGTCTCTTCCCTCCTTAAAATATATTTAAAAAATTGGTTCCGTTGAAAAGAAAAACACAGATTTAATTCGATATTTTCTAGATATAATTATATATTTCTTGTCTTTGTCTTTTCTTAAAGACAATTTATTTATGACGAACAAAACACTCTAGTGTAGATATATTCGTGTGATAATACGCCCAAGTTTAAAAAGAATGAGGAAGTATGCATAATTAAATGATTAAATTGAAGTACTTTGCAAACATTTCGAAACGCTCGAAAATAAAAGTGTGTTATAACAAATGTCGGCTGTTGTGTATTGGTATATTTGCGCGACTGCGTAACGGCGGACTACTAAACAAGTGATTCCACAAGTACCTTTACAAAAGTATTTCGCTGTTTTTGCCTGCGAAAACCGTTAGTTTAAGTAGTGAAAGCGTGCATTCGGCTGAGTGAATATGACCCCGTTTTCTGATCGGGAAGAGGCACTTTTCCGTAATAACGAGTGGGTATAGCGGATTGCATTCGAATGGTATTAATGTGCTATTGAGTATTTTTGAGTAGTAAACACGTACGGTACTGTGTAAATTTGATGTGAATACGTACGTTACATTCAGCTACAAGCAGAAAATATTTATGTTTAACATTCGCAAGCACTCATATTGCACATTTTGAATAGCACGAATAAATGCACGACTCTTTGACGTACTTTTTCCCCTATTGAAACGAAACTGAGTAAAAGAGGAACGTATTAACGTGTCATCAGCCGGAAAACGAATGGACAGGCAATCTCCTCGAAAATATTCATGCATACTTGCGTGTACTTGTCATATTCCTTCGCTTAACAGACTGTACGTGTTTGAGATTGCAAGAAACAAGCAGAAGAATAATAGAACGGTTTAAAAATAAGTCGAAAACGGGCTATATAAAAACAATTAAATATTTTTGTAAAGGTAATCACAAGAATTTTCGTCACTTGATATTGGATCTATTAAAAATAGCCATTATACTTACAAGGGCCCCAGCCACTTTCTTCTCTACTAATATACGCTTTAGAGTGACCTAGAATTTTTTTCAAATGAAAAAATATATATTTTCTTAAAACTACATCTTTTCACGTAAAAGCGAATGTTTATTTAAATAGAAAAATTAAATTTGTGTAAATATATTCATGTTATTTATAGTACCTATCGTGAATAAACATTTTGTATCGACCACATATTTTTTCTCCCAGTGTACCATCGACATATTTCATATCGATGATTATACAGGGTATCTAACAGAAGTCGTACCATCCGTCACATACTTGAAATTTAAGTCAGTGTGAAGAAAAAATTCTCCGCCATTTTGCAAACAAGTACATAAAATTTCGAGTTATTAATTATTGAAAGTGGCCATGTATAGAAGCTTCTTTAATTAATAACTCAAACACTTGCGTGTTATTTGCAAAATGACACAGGACTTTCTTGCACAGAGTAGCCTAATTTGCAAGTATATATGACAGCTGTTGTACTTAGCGACAGGCTTAAGGTTCGAAATTCAAGGTTCAATATACCGATGTTGACATGATCTGTGCATGGCCATTTTCAATGATTGATAAATCGAAATTTCGGTGTTTGCAAAATGGTAGAGGACTTTTCTGCTCACATTGACTTAAACTACAAGTATGACGGATGCTACGACTTTTATCAGACACCCTGTACATTATCGAGCTACGCCGTTCTACAATCAACGTCTCGAAAAAAAAGAACTTTCGCACGTAGAGAATAACGTTCAAATATTTAAATGATTTCGACGAGGAGACGGTGCGTTTCTGCAGGGTGAAAAAGATGTCTCGCGTTACTGTTATTACGCGACTCGCACTCCGGAAAGTAAGTTCGTGTCATTAACTACCCGGCTGTACTCCAAAATGGAGAGATAGTCGACGGGAGCGGTTTACACACCCAAGTCAATATTGAAATTTCGAGGATCTACGAGTGCATGCTACGTGTGCCGCTGCGCCACGAATATGCTAAAGTCCGAAAATGTCGATTCTGCCTATTTACATGTCAAACCGTCTTGGATTATGACTTAATGGTGTAACGAACGTTTTCACGCTCCGCTTAACCATCGCTGTGCAGTCGGAAGCGAGCAAGTCGCCGCGGGTTTCAATCTTCACGCTCCCCGGTGTATAAATATAAGAATAACAATCGCCTAATCGCGCCGAATGCATTTCCCCGTGCGAATTTTTCCAATGAATTCGTGCGGCCGGTATTCATCCTCGCCCCCCTCCCCCGCGGCGGAATCCTCGAGTTGTCGTGCTTGAAATTCTCTTTATACCTCAGCGCGAGCCGACACAGTCAAATTCGCGGGCGGGATTTAAGCGAATAAACGTTTTCGCCGCATTTAAATGTCGCGAACGGGGGGATGGGTAGAGGAGGGGTGGAAGTAGGGAGAATAAAGCGATACTATCCGTCGGCGATACGACGCGAGGATACGCTGAATCGCGAGCGCTTGGCGTTCTTCCAGGATTCCTGAGGACCCGTCCGTTCCCCGACAGGACCAGCGGATCCGGCGGGAATCTGGCGTTGAAGGACATCACGATGGCACTCCGCTGGGTGCGCGAAAACATCGGCGCCTTCGGCGGCGATCCAACGCGGATTACTATAATGGGCCATGATACCGGAGCCGCGCTGGTGAATCTGCTGTTGCTCGCGCCCTACAGCAAAGGTAGGACGAGTGATCGCAATTACCGTTTATCTCTCGATTACCGGACCAACATCTTCTTTAGAACGCGTCACAAACGCGTGTAAAAAAATCTTTCGTCCGAGTGGTTCACAATTTTCTTGCGTCGCCGGCTTTTGACTACTGTCCCGATGTCAAATTAACACACAGTTCATCGTATTTTAGTTATTATTTTCACGTGATGTTTTCACGTGTTAATCTTTCAGTATCGCTTTTAAATGCAATACAGATCAATTCCTAATGTTTTCATAATTTTTCGTTATTTTCTGACTTTTGAGTAATACATCCTCAGGGGATGAGAAAGGTTTAAAAGCCTTAGTAAAATTCAACTCGTTATTACAGGCACAAGGGTTAATTCAATGTAAATTCTTTTTAGGTAGGTTATTTATGCTATATTAACTGTAAAAATATGCCGATGAAATTTAAAAAATATTAACAAATAGAGATGCTGTAGCCATTCCGCGGTGTATGCTTTGCGGAGCTGTGGCGGAGTTCAACAATTTTGCAATTCAATTGACATTTTCAGAGTAGCGGCGAACGATACTGTTTTTCTCATTTAAACAGAAAGGCGTAGATAAACAACGAAGATACAATTTATTGTTTCGAATCATTCAGATATGTAAATGGAAAACTCTAAATATTACATAAAAACAAACGCAATATGCGATATTATTGCTCTTTTATTAATACAACAAAAACACCACCGACACGCCACTGATGTAACTTCACGCTTGCGCACGTACGGCCATAAAGAAAACCGAAACATTGAACAACAGCGGCATTTAACGGTAAATACGCGAGATACATTTGGACGACGTGCTTTGCAGATGTGAAAATCCGCGGGTTTAAACTTCGAAGTTCAACGGAGACGGGAAATTGAGCATCAATATATAGCTTTGCATAGTGGTGCATGCAAAGTGGTGTAATAGAGTTAAATAAGTAACACTTTTTGACCGGAGTTTTAGTTAGTGTTTATAGAAAATTTAATGCTCTTTAATTAGAAAAAAAAGTATCTCGATGTCTTTCTTTACTTTTGAGTTTTGTCGCTGCAAAATCATGAAAAAAATATGGTTTTGAGGAAAAGACGTTTTGATATACTATTTTTCAGAATAACATATGTTATTTACATCAATTGTTTGGTATATAAAATGAGCTCTATTTCGGTAAAATCTCTAAGTTCAGCTTTTCGTTTAGCTGCACTAAGTGCTCGTTCTTTTTTTATGCAATCCTGATTTCTTACGTTACGGAAGTGCGTCGATCCGCTTTCTTGAAACGGTCTCGTCGACCGTTTTGCATACTTCGATGAAATTCTTTTATTAATAAGGCACTCATTAAATCAAAATAGCACGAATTTTCATCATTAAATATTACTATGATCATATGCGTAACAATAGCGACAATATCGATCCTGTCGAATTTTAGCTGTAGCGATCGGTGCATTTAAACAAGAAGGTTATCCTTGCCTGGATGGGAAGTCAAAGATCGGATTTATCGCATCTTAAACATTATGGTAAAATGCCGCTTATATGAGCTTGAATATCTTAAAACTATATATTTATTTCATCTAATCAAATTATTTCGTAACTGTTGCCAAACGTTTGGCCCGCAATTTTCACCGAATTATTTAGTAGCAGTTATTAAATTTCGTTATATATTATCAAATCCTTCTTTCGGTATATTTGCATCGATGCAATTCAATTAAATAAATACTAAAAATCTTCCAAGAAAATTATAATATTCTTGCTTATATGTAAATATTTTTTATTTAAGACTAATTTCTTCCTGTGCATGCACATTAATTCGACTAATATTTCTTTCCCCTGCGAAGAAAATATACATTTTTTTAACTGCAGCCTTTCCTGGAAACAATTATTCATTCTCGAACAAAAACGTTTCGATTTAAAGAAATCATTATTCATCAGCAACCACCGAAGAAATATTTTTGATTTTTGGACACTCTCTTTTATCCTTCAGTGTGAAATCCCGCACGCGTATTCTGGACGCAGCTTTTAAAGTCGCGAAATTCTCGCATCGCTTGCTTCTCCCTGTTGGCGGAGGAACTCGAGATTCGGAGAGACGCGTCCGTCCTTCAAGTGCCGAGCCATTTCGAAGTGGCGATCGATCGATTGACGCGTAGCCTTCGTTCGCGAAGGTGCGTGTATCGCGCGCTCATTCCTTTCAGCTATCAAACGCGCGTTGGCAGCTTGATGCCGCCATTGTACCGGACTTAACAGTTTATCGGTCATTCTCGCTCTACGTGCGCGCGATGGACTGTTGTAATACAAAATAAATCAATTCGATCTTGCGCAATATAGAAACGCGGCGGGACAGAGAGAGAGAGAGGGAGCGTGCGTGTCGAGGGCAGTGCTGGAAATATTTGCGCCGCCTAGTAAGTCGAGCCGATATTTACCATTAATGCGCCGGCGTATTAATAACATTACTGTTTACGGCGCCGATGTGCAATGAAAAATGTTCCGGCACCGTTCGACCGGAAAATATACGCCGGGACGTTAACCGAGCGTGAAGAGAAGGCGCGCCGGCCGATCGATCGGATCGGATGATCTCCGGAAATCCGGCGGCGGTAACCTTCAGGTAGAAGCGGAGACGCTATTCGCAGGACGTTCGGTAGATTAATCGTCGGGGGATTAGTTGGCAAGGGTCGTGTGGAGGAGACAACCGAAGGGTTGGACCGTCCTCTCAAAAAAACATCACCCATTGATCCGCGCCCGGGGTGACAAATTGCAGGACTCCATTTTATTCGATCAGGAGCGAGATGGGCTCGTTTTTTCTTTTTTTTCATTGTCGCCGGACTGAACACTGGCTGAAATTGAACGCTCGCCCGGCTTTTGTCCTTCAGGTGCGCTCCCCGCAGGAAACCGAGCAGGAGGGCGTAAGAGAAGGGAGGGGGCGAAATTGCGCAATAATAAAAATGCATGGGACGCGCGTCTCGCCCCGAGGAACAAAAGAGGGGGGGAAACGCTAAAAGCGTCGTAAATACATCGCCCCGCGATAAATCCTCGCGGAATTCGGTTTGTGATATAGTTGGTCGCTAATTCCGCGCTAATCAGGCGAATTATGACTAACAGCTAACGCGCGCGGCCCGATACGCCTCGCATAATCGACGCAACGGTCAACATCCCTCGTCGAATTTATCCGATTTGGCCAAACCTGAGCGCCGTACGGCGATCGTTATATTTTGCAAAAATATCGCGCGCCGGCGAATTTGTTCGCCCATATCACTTTTGCAGTTCAACCGTTGTCCATCATACGCGCGCGCGTTACTCGTCGCTTTCGGCCGCGAAATCCCTAAAACTGTCACCGTATACCTTGTGGTCTTTCACGATAAAAAAAAAAAGAGAAAAATATAAAAAGAAAATGAACGCTTCACCGAAACTGTAAATAGCGAATCGGATCCGTAGCAATAAACGTTACTTGAAACCTGCTTCAAGTGAGACACACTTGAATTTAGATCCGTATTAATAGTTGTTACTTAATACTTGTCTCAAGTGCAAGACACTCAGACTTGAGTTCAGAATTAGATCTGAATTTTTCAGTCGTCATCATGATCACAAATATAATGTCATGCGTATCGTAAGATTTAAAATTGAAAAATTCAGATCTAAACTCTCTAAATTCAGATCTGAGTGTCTCACGTAGGACAAGTTTCAAAGTAAGCGATGATTATTAATACTGGAGTTAGATGTGAGTTTTTCAGCCGGATTGAGCTTACAAATGTCATGTCGCGTGTATTATGTGATTCTCAAGTAAAAAAGAAACTCAAATCTAACTCTAAATTCAGATTCTGGATATTTCCTCGTGGAACAAGTTTCGAGTAAGGGCTATTAATATGGGCCTCGGACAAGTGGAAACGAGCGTCAAGAAGAGATACGCGAGAAAGGAGAGAAGGAAGATAGAGAGTGGGCAGAGTTCCTCTTTTCGCTCTCCTGGTGATGGCCGGCTGGATTCATTCGTCTCGTCTGGCCGTTTCTCGGACCTCCGGTTGTACCGGAAGCAGCGCAAACAGTTTACATCTCGAGTAGAGCATCGCCCGGTTGTGCATTCCTTCCGCGTATTCTTCCTCCTGCGCTCGATGCCTGCCTTTCGTCTCGTCTCAGCTTAGCGCGAAGGGGGCCGAAGACGGAAAAGCCCTCGGGAAAACCGCTTTTCTTCGGTATCCGGGACGCCGAGAGCGGGGACGTCGGTTTTTCCGTTTACCGCACTTTCCGCTTCTTCGATTCCGACGTCGACGCCACGGCCGGGTTTCCGCGCTGAGACCAGGTGCGGTGCTGCACTTCTTGCTGGTCAGGGATTGAAGCAAGCGGCCAGGATACGCCATCCCCGCTCGCTCCCTCTTTCTCTCTCTTTCTCTCTCTCTCTCTCTCTCTCTTTCTCTCTCTCTGTCTCTTGGCGGCGGAAATGTGCGCGGAGGCGAAGTTACGAGCGAAGTTACAAGGCAGCGAAAATATATCGAGCTACCAACACCGCGCTTTAATCTGCCGGGAGAAAAATCCGAATTTTTGTACGAGCGATCTGTTTATACGGTCGCAAATATTCCTGAGAACGTTGCGGGATTTTCGAACGAGCCGTCCGCGGGCTCATTTCTTGAACAAAACGTTTGTCCGAAAACGTGCGCCCAAAGTCGGCTTGGATAGACACCTGTAAATTAGAGTCTTAGATGTGAATAAAGAAGCGCAATGGAGAAAGTCAGTTTTGATCGGTTGTCTGAATCACATGATCCAGGCGCTATTTTCTTTGCCCATCATGATTAAAGCGGCGTCCACCAATGAGAATTTAAGGGGTGAGATTTAAGCTTTGAGTCTTGAGCTGTGAGAAATAGATCAGTCATAATCGATTATTCTTTACGCATTTGACTGTGGTCGGCCAGTTTCTTAAAACGGCTTAAAACTTAAAGCTCAAGTCTTATGTCTTAGCTCAAGTCTTATGTCTTAAATTCTCATCGCAGACATCGCTTAAGGGTCATGGCA